GAGAGAGAGAGGAGGAGAGACAGAGAGAGCAGGAGAGAAGGGTTTGCTTGCTTCACTTCCTTAACATCTACCATTTCAGCAAGGAACTATTCTCTTGTACAGTGAATTATACGCCAGTCGCCTCTCGCAGATCGTCCAAACCCAACCACCCTTGACGATCCGAATTATACAGAATCTTCTGTAACCCATGCTTGTCGTAAGAAGCGACTAACGGGATCAGGCTCGCTGACCTGGTTGATGCATGTCACCGTATCCCGGTTGCGTAGACCGATGCTCATGATGTCAGTCACTGGGTTGTCTGATCCAAACTTGAACATAGCGGAATCCGGTGTTACACGACAATCAAACACTAACATCATAGAATGACAGGTGTCTTACAAGGTCACTGTTCAACAGACATGCACGTGTCTTTCCTTCAATGTAACATCAGACCCGTGAAGAAGGTCAGAATTGGTCTTCAGTAACCGTTGCTTGTCGTAAGAGGCCACTAACAGGGTCCAGGCTCGCTGACTTGGTTGACACATGTCATCGTGTCCCAATTACGTAATACGATGCTCATGCTGTTGATCACTGGATTGTCTGGTCCAGACACGATTATTTACAGACCGCCGCCCATATGGCTGGAACATTGTTGAGTGCGGTGTAAAACTCACTCACTCAATATAACATCATCATCATCATCGTTCAAGTACGTATCCTACCCCAATGGGAATTCCAGTTCAGAATTGGTTTGTAAACCGTTATTCATAATATCAATCATTGGTTTGTCTGATCCAGGATCGATTACTTACGGGCCGAATAATTCATATAGCTGGAAGATTGCACACGTTCCTCAACAAATGAAATACCTGACATATGTTCCATTATATATTTGAGTTGACCTTCAACTGCATTTGTAACACGTTTTACTCTCAGTTGCGTCATGCCTGATAACATTCGACTTACGACCCATATGTGCGTGCATGATCCATTCACGTTGAGCGAACGTGCTAAATTGAATGACGGCTGTATACAACCTTATCGCAAATACTTCTATTTATACACTGTTGTGGAAAGCCTGTGTATTGAATGTTGTCCTACCTCTATTAACTGCAGTCTGTTGTCAGTGGAATAGTATCGCTGCAGCATATCATTGATCTCTTATCATTACATACACGGTAAGAGACAAGGTCAAGGTCAACGTACGTTGTTTATACAGGCGCAGCAATACATGAAATATCCATTACCTGTTGAAAGGAACTATTATCTTCCAACTGCCAGCACGACAATTTAAGACTCAAACGTGCAAAATAGTTCGTTCGACTTCATTCAACAATTTCACAGAAAACGCGTTACCTCCTCTGAGAATGTGTACACTTCGTTTTGTACTGGACAATATGGAATATAAAACATGACTCGGCTTGGCGTCAGTGTACTGTGTTTGAGTGGGGTGGTCGTGTGTAAACTACGGCATAGTATATGTGTGGGCTACCGCTAATAAACCAGCTGTAGTTCCGGACTAACACAATCAACCATACACACGTGCATTCACGTCGCCATGTTGGCGGTACTACCTTGACCGCACCGAGGAACTCCTTTTCACCCCCCACCCCACCCCCCTTATAACTTATATGAATGGTGTATGACCAATAACCAAACTATAAATTTCGGCGGTCTGTATAGCTGTGTGTGCGTGCGTGCGTGTACAGGTCTGTATACGTATGTGTGTGCGTTGTTTGGCAAGGCATGCTTTTGGAGAATTGAACGCACATCACAAATATCAGGGTAGACTAACAGCTAGTCTCTGAAATGAACATATTTTACTGAAAAAAGTTCATAGTAAAAAAAAAATATATAATGAAAAGGAGCCCTGAGACTTTCTTCATTTTCAGAAGCTGAGGAAATCTAGACTTGCCACATTTACTAGACTTGTGTTGGCTTTCTTGGATATATTTGCTTCAGGGTCTGTACGACAGACTAATATCAGGGATACTCTACCTTATAAAGTCTCCCTGCAAATATGAACGAAGGAAAACTGAGAAGATATGGATGAATAACTTGTTTATTACAATAGAAGCGACGTTTCAGTGTACGTTCTAGCGCCGTTATCAAGCAAGTCATATGAGTACTGGGGAACCCTTAACCCTGGAATATTCACGGGGCTTGAGAACAGTGACAAAGTATATGATTACTGGATGTACGTAAATATCTTAAATCCTATTTGTTTTCAATGAAACACCCTGCACTCCTATACGTGTGTCTGATAACGTCATAGTTTTGTGGGGCGGTGGGGTAGCCTAGTGGTTAAAGCGTTGGCTCGTCACGCCGAAGACCCGGGTTCGATTCCCCACATGGGCACAATGTGTTAAGCCCATTTCTGGTGTCCCCCGCCGTGATGTTGCTGGAATATTGCTAAAAGCGGCGTAAAACTAAACTCAGTCAGTCAGTCATAGTTTTGTAGAAAATCCGTATGAGATGAGGAAAGATCAAATTACAAGCAAGAACAGTTAGCAGTCTTTCAGACAAACCCAGGGAGTCTCGCGATCTATTTGCTCCTTGACATGAAAACCAACGTGGCTAATTATGCACAGTAACTACTGGTTCGAACTAGACGGGAATACACTGACGGCTGTCGATCTGCGTTGCCCGGGTAAGATTTATACTCATGCAAGGTGAGCATGCAGGATCTAAACTCGAGTCAACGAAAAGTGCGTTTGTACAGATGCCAGCTTAGTCTGTCCCTAAGACCCTAAACCACGTTAATTTCCCTACTGCCTTCCTTCAATGATGGACCGCCTCCGTGGTGTAGTGGTTAGAGCGTCCGCCCGGAGAGCGTCATACCAAAAGACGTTAAAATGTGGTACTTGTTGGTCCCTGCCTGGCGCTCGGCATAATGGGTACAACAAGGACTGGTCGGCTCGGAGTCAGTATAATGTGTCTGAGTGGGGTATTCATGCTTCACTGCGGCATGGTATCTCAGTGGACTAGCACTATAAAACCAGCTTAGGTCTGGGCTAGTACAAGCAGCCGCACATACACATACACACGCATGCACGTCGTCATATGAGCGAAACATTCTCAAGCACGACGTATAACCAAATTTCACCTCACCTTCAATGATGAGGCCCTGAAAGAAGCAAATCTAGATTTCCTCTCAAGTTCTGAATCTCCCATCTCAACGGGGCTCCTTTTCAGTTCAAATGGGATTGTTTGTTACTGTCAAAGTTATGTATATTATATTCAGACTGAGCGTCAGTCTAATGCCAGCTATATACATGTACTGCGAATGGGTACGTACGTCAGTTCCTGAAAACAGTACTGTGTACACGATCTGAAAATACTTTATCCTGTGGTACGTTTTGAGGGCAGAAGTATAAGACACTTTGGAATAAAAACAAATATTCTTTTCTTATGACGTAATGACGGTAAAACTGATATCACTTTCGGGGGAAAATTGAGTAAAATCCGATTATTGGAATAACACCTTGGTGATGGAACAATAACAGAAAACAGTTAATGTAAGGGTAAACTGCACAGGTGTGCAGAAAACTGAACAAAAAACATCTTTCTGTGAAGAAACAAACGGTATAGTAGGGTGCCTTGTTTGTTGTTTCCAGACGGAGCCGCAATGTGTTCGAGTACTCATAATGTAAGAACTTCCTGCGAAGCTCGTTTGCCCCGCCCCGCTGTGAATCATATGGGAGGTCCGTTTCCTCAACTACCAATGACGACAAAAAAATATGTTACAATTCAAAGAAAAGACATTTACGACATAGAAATCACTACAAGAATATCCGATAAATGTATACCACTGAAACTTTTTAAAGTTGCAGCAAATATTAAATATGTTTAACTTCATCGTTTGCGATGAGAGGGGAAATAAATGTAACCGCTCTCATTTACTTCATGTATGTGTATATGTGTGTGTGTGTGTGTGTGTTATCCGTGCGTGTGCGTGTGTATGCGTGCGCGTGTATTGGAGGGGATGTGTCGATCTATCATTTCGTCATTTGGAATATACAGCCCCTGTAGATGTAGAGGAAAAGCGAGGGCAGGGGGTCCTTCTACATGTAACCAGACATCCCTCGAACTTACTCGACCGGTACCCATTATCCCTAGACTAATGCTTAGTCTCTGAATATATATAATTTTGATAGTAACAAACAAGCCCATTTAAATTGAAAAGGAGCCCCAGGGAGACCAGAGATTCAGAACCTGAGGAAATCTAGACTTGCTTTATTTAGGGCTTTAGCACTGCAGAGAGAGCTTGGCCGTGGGGAAAATAATGTGGTTCAGGGACTGTGAGACAGACTACCATTATCCCTACATCAACACATGGCTTCAGTACGTATATTACATGACCGGGACAGCACTGTGTCGAAGTTTAGTGTCCATGCTAACCCATGGTGTCTCAGGGGGCTGGCACTAAAAACGACATTAGTCCGACCAGAACCAGCAGCCAGGGAAACACACGTGCATGCACGTCCCCTTACCAGTGCAGTAACCGGAAACCCGACGTTGACCCCATTTCAACCCATCCTCCTGTCTGCAGTTTTATTACCGTTTCATGTACCTATAAGGTACATGAAACGGTAATAAAACTGCAGACAGTATTGTTAAGCTAATGACATGAAACATGGCGGGTTAATTGCTCCACTTGCGTCACATTTTCATGCACCGTAGAGTTTTAAACAACAGTACAGTGCACTTAGAAACCTTCATTGTGTCTTTTGTAAGAACAGTATTCAGATAAAACTCTTTCATAAGGAGCTTATGAGACGTGCGATAATACAAGCATATATAAATAGAACATCTGAAAGCTGTTGCAAATGCTTATTTCGTGGGCTTTCGTGAACCCTGTCTGATACGGAACCTGAGGAAATAGACCGTCACACACATTTAAGCATATGTAGATTTGAACGATAGCACATTTCAAACACGTGTTTAAAAAGTCTGGCTGATTCATGCATGTCGCTTTGACCTTTGCATGTGCGCATGCGCAAATTCTCCATCGATGACATCCGGGTGTCAGTGATAAGGCAACATGGCGGCCATCAGTACCACAGGTGACATGGATTATATTTGTCTTACAAAATCAAAACTTGCCGCAGTATCTCTTGGCTTGATGTAAATTTATTTCATACTTTAATACATACACAACGGGCACGACACTATTTGTGTTACCAGCGAGACCTGATTTAAAGACGAACTGGTCGTATTTTCGTGTTGGCTTTGACAGCTTGGACAGGAAACGCCGAGGTTGACTGGGCCTTTCTTGACACACAGACCGCTTTCGTTTATATTTGCAAACGTGAAAATAATCGATAACACCTTGTTTTAAGTGTTGTTTGACCAGACAAGTGATACAGCTTATTCCATGTGATACTCTCCTGTGTCATAATGAGTGACAGAGCCGACAGGAGGCGACGGAGCAACATACGCCAGTATTCGGCTGAGGATCAAGCTCTCAATCAGATATCGAAAGAGGTAAGTATCATGCAGACCCACAAATCAAACATTTAGTTAGGGTGCATATTTGTTAAACCTAAGGCCACCCGTCCTACGTACAAACACTAGATAACGAAACCCATGTATTTGAGCGAGTCGTTTCCTTGGAAAGTTAAATGAAGTAGGTGTATATTCTAACTAATGTGATTAGTACCAGGATTTAACTTATCTTTATCTATCACAGACATATGCACTAATCTTGAATATGCGATGTCTAAAGACATTATGTTATTCTGGCAGTGCAAGTATCATAACCATGATATATTTTAATACAGGTTTTCAATTGTTCCAAACAAAATGTTGTTCTGGGATACATAGTCAGTTCTCAACTGACAAACAACAGACAAAACTAATGTACTTTTCAAACCAACCTACAACATGTACATTGGAAAGAGTTCCTTACGTACCCCCACCTGTTTTATAAGGTACTTTTCATTACTTGTATAGCTTTGTATTTTTTTAAAGAAAACGTGGGGGGTATGTAAGGAACCCTTACCCAGTATGTTTTTGACCTTACAGAAAGAATGGTGAAAGCTTATTGTGCATGGTGATGGTTTCCTATAGATTAGAACATTTCATAGCCTACTTCTATTCAGCATTGCTTTATCATGTTTATAAACAGTGTTTACAGGGGGAAATGTCACAACCTTATGAACAGCAAACAGTACAATTGATTTATTTGTACAATACACACTCAAAATAGTGATACAATGACCATGAACATGGTGAATATAATTGTGGTTAAATAGGGTGTATCTGTGAACTGTTTAAAAACAGAAGTCAAGGTGACAGCATTTGATAAGAACTTTGGTTATTTTATACCAAATTTATTACTCACCACTGAAGAGATATCCCATTTAATAACTAAAAATTACCGTATGAATTTTTTAAAAAGTGTTTAATAATCATGAATATGATATATGAATGGGACTATTTGCATCAGCTCATGTATTATCATGGTTATATACAGGTAATTGACAGTTCTGTTTTTCACAAACACATGAGAGATTCCAATACACACTACACATGCATCTTAGAAGTGTATTTTTAGCATACTATCAAATAATCATGTTCATTGGCAATATCAAATCAGTGAGTGTTTGCAGTTGTCTAATGTAGGAATCCTAAAAATAGTTTGGAATAGAGAGAACATACCGTCATGCTAGTGTCATGGCATTAGGAAGATATGATACAGGTTCAGGGCATCACTAATGAATAAATCATTATGCCAAAGATCATCACACCAGTGCAGCATCTACTTACGACCTTGAACTTCGTGTTGTGATTGAGAGGAGCACCCTCTTGACCAACTGGACAGTCACTGAGAATGTGTTGTCATGTCAACTGAATCAGTCTTGGGTCGTGAATCTTCCTCTTTCTGAATCGGAAGATATTGCGTAGCTTAACAGTATTTTCGCAAAATATCATAACATATAAACCATCTTCTGACTTGTTCAAAATCATACAGTAAGTATGTCATGACCAATGAATTGTCCATTTGATCTTCTTTCACTTGACATTGAACTGAGTTTGAAGTTAGATTTTCCACTCAATGCAAATGAATCTAACTTGGTATCAGGTAGGGCTGGCTATGGATATAGATATAATAGAGATTGATAATCGTTAACTAAATATTGATCTTTTACCAATATGGACTCAATTATTTACAGACCGCCGTCATATAGCTGGAATATTGCTGAGTGCAGCGAAAAAACTAATCCCACTCACTCACGGTATTATCAGTAAATATTGGAAACATAACAGTGAGGTAAAATATCCGAAAAAATAAGATATTTTACATTGCTAGTGAGTTGTGACATGTTTTTGCCTAAATTATTAATAAAAGAGCATCCTGAACATAAGTTAGAAGCAGACAATGAATAAAGTCATAAATTTGTATATTGTTTGAGAAAATGAAAACTTTTTTCTGTCACTAAAGTGAATGTATGATATTATCGATAACATAATTTTCATGTCGATAATCGTTAATAATCTTTTTTCTATTGGCAATATTTCCGATTATTGATCATTTTAGTCAGCCCTATTGTCAGGGATACGTTTGTGTATGCAAATGATATTATGAATACAATTTGAGAATAGACAACTTTGTTTCTTCTAAACTATCTTGGAGAAAGCTGCAACAATACTTCCAGGTTGTACCTTAATTGAACATTCTATAATCAAATTATCAATTATAGATTTTGTAGTTATGCATCATTCCAATAATGTCTTCTTCATCTATGAATATAAATAATATCAAAGTGTTTGTGAGAATAATGGTTATCACAGTTAGATACTACACTTATGGTTATGACAACTTTTGTGTCCCAAAACATCAAGCTCGGAAGACATTTTGTAATCTAAATTTGCAAAAAGCCTTCAGTACATTGTAGATGACAGTAAGTCAGTGTCCTACAATAATAACTGATCTGAGACCCTTCGATAGAAAGGGGGGCGGTGGGGTAGCCTTGTGGTTAAAGCGTTGGCTTGTCACGCCGAAGACCCGGGGTTCGAATCCCCACATGGGTACAATGTGTGAAGCCCATTTCTGGTGTCCCCTGCCGTGATATTGCTGGAATATTGCTAAAAGCGGCGTAAAACCAAACTCAGTCAGTCAGTTGATAGAAAGGTGTTCAAAATTAAATGCCTTTGTAAGTTTATTTTTGACGATCAACAGGGAGTAACCATAGTACTCTGCCAATGATGATTATAACAGCAATATCACACTGTAATTAAATAAATGCATGAGTACATTATTTTTTCCAGAGCTTTTCATTACTATATTTCAAATGGGTCAAAGACGTTTCTTTTGCAGGTTTTGTACTTTGTTTAACCAACATATGATCATTATCTTATTATGTTCTTCCCTTGTCCACAGGCTGAGACCAGATTGCAGGCAAAACGGGCTGCCAGAGCAGAGGCGCGGGAAATCCGATTAAAGGAAATCGAGAAACAGCAGAAAGAGGTGTGTATTCCGACTGTTTGAGGGGAGGTGGGGTAGCCTAGTGGTTAAAGCGTTTGCTAGTCATGCAGAAGATCCGTGTTCGATTCCCCACATGAGCACAATGTGTGAAGCCCAATTTCAGGTGTCCCCGTCATGATATTGCTGAAAGTGACGTATGGCAATACTCACTCACTCTGGGTGAATGCTTACAGTAGAAGTTGTGAAGTAAATCTGTGTCGTATTGGTGAAATAAATCTGTGTGGCATTGCTGGTGTTCTGTTAGACCATGGTTCTTTCAGGAGTATTTATATTTCTATATATTGTATTTGCTCAATATGCCAGGCAAGTATGATGATCAGTTTTGATTATGTATCTACCTTCCAATATATACTTGGCAGTTTCTAAAGCTCCCATAATTCAAAATGCAAAGCAGTTTGTTCCATCCAAAGATTGTGTAATAAGAGATCCTTGATGTATTTGCTCAGTTCTGTACATTTTCATCAACCATGATAAGTATACTTGCCGATCCATGCATGGTGACATCCACACTTAACACACAAAAAATATAAAGATTGAATCAGGAAAGGACAAAGTGTGGAGGGTTTGAGCCTGAAGCAAATTGATGAAAACAACATTGTTTTGTTTATGTATCAGCTTCAGTTGGGGATTTCCATGAAATGGTGTTCCAAAACTCCAAATTAGGAGTTACAAGTCACAGGCCCCCACTGCGGGTCAGAAAATCGATAAACTAGGCCCCGGTTGAGTATCAACACCCCCTACTATATAATACTTAAAGGTTCATCACAGAAATACGGTGACATGATCGAAAACCGGACAATTACGCACACGTCAATGACTATATCGTATTTTAAAGGTCTCACAAGTATCAAAAGCTTTTGTCCATATCTCCGATGTATGTAGGAGGCATATACATGCGCTTTCCGTGGGGATGCATTTGATGGGTTTTATTAAATCGCCAAAGACCGAGTTGCTGTGCCGAAGTGTACAAAACTAGGTCGCCAGCTTAATCAAATTGGTTAATAAAATGACAACAAATGCACGCGGCGTAAAATGAGAGGGAAACTCAAACGCCTATCATCCAAGATGTCACTATCTGATGTTTTATCTTGGTAAGATTAATTTAAAAAACGAAGTACAAATATTTTTTAAAGAAACACAGTGTAATGTGTTAGCCAATCAGATCGCCGGAGGTAGTGAAGTCAAGCGCTGACGACCTAGTTTTGTACACTTCCGGCACAGCAACTCGGTCTTTGGCGATTTAATAAAACCCATCAAATGCATCCCCACAGAAAGTGCATGTATATGCCTCCTACATACACCGGAGATATGGACAAAAGCTTTTTGATACTTGTGAGACCTTTAAAATACGATATAGTCATTGACGTGTGCGTAATTGTCCGGTTTTCGATCATGTCACCGTATTTCTGTGATGAACCGTTATGTATTATATAGTAGGGGTGTTGATACTAAACCGGGGCCTAGTTTATCGATTTTCTGACCAGCAGTGGGGGCCTGTGTTACAAGTCACCATTTCAAACATATTTATGCCAAATAGACTGAATATGAGAGTAGATACTGTTCACTGTCAATACTCAATGTGAATGATAACCTGTCAAAATGCTCTGTGATTCTAAAGATGATCTAAAACCTTAGACAAGTCTTCAAACTTGCAATTGTAAAATAGCAGTTGGAACTCCATGAAAGTTTGCTGAAAGTTGCTAGCTACATTTGTAACAATATGACATTTGAACTCATGAAACATTGATCATGGTGATTATTGACAATTTTATGTTTATTTCTTTAATAGGCCAACGGCCAACATGACAAATACATCATACATACTTTCAAAAGCGCATTGCCAACATTTTTACTGAACTTGACTAGTGTTTACACATTTCAACAGTGATCAGTAAATTGCGTAAATTATCATGAAGAAACCAGTCCCGAAATAATTTCTTGACCCTGATTATATTAACATCCTTGTTTATGATGGAATCCAACAATATCAGATAAAGCTCATAGTCACATTCATCAATAAATCTGGATCAAATCACTGACCTACACTTGTGAAATGATCTTTGACCTTTTAATATTGACTACACTAGTAAGCAAACTTACAAGACTAATGATGACCTGTCTATACAGCTTATATCTTCATTTGATAAAACCCGATCAGAGTGGTGAAGGAACACGTTGACCACAAACCCATAGATGTGATATTATTGATACTTGTCTACTTGACTTCAACAAGCTGATGTCGTAAGAGGCGATGCGACGAACAGGATCAGGTGGTCCGGCTTCCCGACTTGGTTGACACTTGTCATTGTTTACAGTTGTGTATGTCGATGCTCATGCTGTTGATCACTGGATTGTCTGGTCCAGACTCAATTATTTACATGTCACCGCCATATAGCTGGAATATTGCTGAGTGTGACGTAAAACTAACCTCACTCAACAAGCTAAGCCAAAACTTTAAGACAATTGTTATCATGGCTACAGTATGTTCTAAATTCAGCACGTCTGGGATGTGTATAGAAGTCTGAAGTGTTTATCACCATCTGTTGAGATACAGGAAGGAAGCACTGCAATACAGATATCTTAAAATAATGTATTACACATTGCATAAACTCTGTCATATACAGTCATCCAGGTCCATTGTGCAGCATACTCGTGAAGGTCCGGGTTAGAATATTTGATCTTAGTAACCAATGCTTGTCGTAAGTGGCGACGGACGAATGGGATCGGGTGGTCAGGCTCACTTGGTTGACACATGTCATCGGTTCCCAATTGCGCAGATCGATGCTCATGCTGCTGGTCACTGGATTGTCCGGTCCAGACTCAATTATTTACAGACCACCATCATATAGCTGGAATATTGCTGAGTGCGGCATAAAACTAAACTCACTCACCCATTGTTCAGCAAGTTCATCTTTTCTAACATACTGGTATCTTACTGAAGTACACAACATATCTGGAGCTGTGCGTGTCCTATGTAAATATGCAGGATGAAGCATTAGGGTTTGAGACAGTTGTACAGAGCACACCATGCTTTCCTCTGTCTTTGTCATATTCTACCATGAATGAGGTGCATTTGGAAAATACTCAATTCTGATTGGTCAGTCAGAGGTATCAAATCATAGCTTAAAGGTATTCAGGGTTTACTGCATTGACACCAATATTCAGAGTGAGTGACAATATATGTTGGCAGATAGCATGATAGATATCAACTAAGTGTGTAAGTGTCTGTTCAATTCGATTTTAAGGTCACAGGGGTTCAAAATATTTTTAAAAAGCCACTTGCCACAGGGCAAGTGACTTTAAGAAAGTAACTTGTCCTGACTAATTTTCCACATACCCTGATTTTATGACATAATTATGATGGTGTAATTATGAAAGAAGAAATCAACATGGTATTTGATGTTAATGTTTACTGGACTAATTATTGAAAAGTGATAAATAGCAAAGAAAGATAACTCTACTTTATTATCATTGCGAAATGTAATAGCTACATTTTGAGCAGATATGAAATTAAATCCAAGTTTATTTGCGGTTTGAAACCATAAGTGGAAATTATCTAGTAGCCCACGGACAAGTAAGATACCATTATTTGATTGCCCGAAATGAAAACTGACTTGTCCCGGGCGCCGGGCGATGGGATTTTTGAACCCCTGGGTCAACAGGTTCAGTGGTTTTCTGTAGTCAACTGTTACCATGGTTAGATCATATCTTTTGCATCATAATGATCAATGTGACATCATAATAGTGGTGGGGCGGTGGGGTAACCTAGTGGTTAAAGCGTTGGCTCGCCACGCCAAGACCCTGGTTCGAATCCCCACATGGGTACAAAGTGTGAAGCCCATTTTCTGGTGTCCCCCGCCATGATGTTGCTGGAATATTGCTAAAAGCGGCATTAAACCAAACTCAGTAAGTCAGTCAGTCATAATAGTGGTATGCAGTGTAGAACTAAACCCTGTGAGGTTCATTTTAGTCTTGTGAAGTAGTTCATCTCTAGCTTGTGGACATATGCCATTTCAAGCCTGCTTCTCTTGGCTCATTGGTAGCTCCACCATATGTAGACCACCACGTGTATACCTTGTGAAGAAAATGCAATATCAGATCAAGTTGCTGTTCATGTGCTTCACTGTAAAAAAAACCCACAGCAGAAAAACCTGTGAATTATTTAATTATGCACAAAGAACCTAATTAAGCACCCCCTGTATTTTTGCAATGATACTGATAGGTTTTCAACACATACATAAAACTTTTCATGGTGACCACGGTGTGGAAAAACATGAGTTTTTCTGGCGCATATGATCCTTTGACTCATAAAAAAAATAAAAATGATTGGAATCCATAATGATAATTGCTCATTTAAAAAAACACAGATTTTCGTACAGAACCATGTCTGTACAAGTATGGCCCTGGAATGTTTAATGTTGGAAGTTATTGGTGAATGTGAACATTCAAAATGTCATTTTGCATGTCTTACACAATTCATGGTCAATACCGAGTGTAACCTCGATGTGACTGTATGACAGCCAGCACTCTCCTCCTCATACCCACTGTCAGCCTCCTGATCCTCTGAAGGGACAGTTTGCACCATTCTTCACGTAAAGCAGCTTCCAATTGGGCCAGGTTCTGTACAGGATCCCTTTGTTACACACGCTGACCAATCATGTCCCAGATATGCTCCAAAGGGTTAAGAGCGGGGCTCATTCAATCGTGAGATATGTCAGGGGGTGCTTCACTAAGTTCTTTGTGTATATAATTTTGAGATTCTCCCTGACAAAAAAAATTATAGGTTGCCACTGTAAAGATCCTTATTACTGCAACATTTCATTCTTACAGTTCACTGCTTTCTAACCTGAAATTAAAAATTAGCTCAGTAAATCCACCATTGCAATAAGCATTTAGAATTTTTCAGTTAAAAACATTAAATTTTGAGCTGAAGTGTATAAAAGTATTTTATCAATTTGATTGAAAACCGTGAACCACCTTCA